ATGCTAGAAGATGCACTATCTGTACCTCGTGAAGGTGGTCTTAAATCAGATTCTGGTGATTTTGATATTTCTGTTCTTTTTTCTTCTAGTAAAACATCTTTTCTTTTTGTGGTATTTGTATATGGCTTAGCCCAATCTGGTCTAGGATCAGTTCTAATGACTTCATTTTTAATTTCCGCATCTAACGCATCCCTGGATGATCGTAAATCAGCAGCCTTTTTTAAAATTTCATCATTTTTGGCTAACCATTCGTTTTTCCATTCAGAAGTTTTTGGTGGTGAACGTATAGGACTCGTTGGATAATTGACATAATCTGGTGCTTCGAGGAAATCTATGTCTTTATCTATTTTATTTTCAGGCATACTGCTTACTATATTTTCTGTAGACATGCTGCAAAGTGGACTAGAAGTACCAGAACCTTTTTCCCCCAAAGGAACGCCCGTTTTTACTGGTCCAGGTATATTACAATTTGAAGTTGCAGAATTGTTTTTAATAACTCCTGCATTTATTACATTTTTTGAAACTTGAGTACCACTGTTCTTTATAACATCCGAATTTTTGGCAAGAGCTTTAGCTGTTGGATTCTTTTGTACAACAGCATACTCAGGTATAGGGGATGAATCCTGAGGAGGTTTTTGTGCTGATGTATTAAGTACATTCTTTGAAACATCTTTCTGTTCTTGATTCCGTTGCAGATTGTTACTATTTTGTAAATTTGAACCTTTGTGTACAACAGCATATTCAGGTATAGTTGGTGAAGTTTCAAAATATTTATTTATGGTGGCATATTCTGGGCTATTAGGAAGATCTGATGGACTCAGCGAGGCAATACTAGCAGGTCTTTCTTTTTTTGTATTAGCATTGGAAGAATTCCTTGTTGGTGGTGGAGGCGGAGGAGGAGATGTTGCAGCCGATGGCCTTGCAGAACAAAAACTGGCGGATCTTATTGCTGGGCTTGCAGATACATCTACTGATCTTTTTGTATCATTTTCTACGTTACTTGAAAGTTCATTGAAACCCGTGGAATTGTTGTCGCCGGAAAATTTATTAAAATTTTGATTTAAAGAAATTTGAACGACCGATCGATTTGGATCAGAATTATATCTACTTGGTCTAGTTTTAGAAAAATGACTTGTCCAATTTTTTTGTTTTTCTATTAATTCCTTAGAATTTAATTTTCTTTCTGGTTTCTCAGGTTTTTCTGGTCTTTCATCTAAACGATTTTCCTTGCCATAATTCTTTTCGCTTTTATTAAATGGAATGCGTCCTTTGAATTTATCAGTTACATTGTCTAAACCATAATTATGTCCATTTTCAAAGTGTCTTTCTGCATTTAAAGTCGGTACACTCGCACTCCAATTACTCAAGTGATCTCTAGTTCCTGGCGGTGATGGAGAACGTGGTCGTGGTGATCTAGCCGGGGAAGTACATCCAGAACCTGAATTTGCAGAGCTAGAGCGAGAACGCAGGCCATGCAAATTACTTGGCTTTGTAATACGATCAACACTGTAGACATAAATATGTAACATTTAAAAATGTAATGACTCAAGTAATCTTATATAGTTTAAAAAAAAAAAAAGAAAAAATGAAAACAAAAAAAAAGAAACAAAACTTACGGTCTGTTTGTTTTATTTTCTTCACCAAGTTTTTCAAATAACGCGCGAGCATTATTGAAACGTGCCACATGACTTTCTGTTCTTACAACTGTTACTTGTGTAGGTGATTCTTTAAGAGGTACAGTTGGTTCCTTGAACCCATCCGTTAAAATTGCATTTCCTTTGTGAGTTAAATTATCCAGTTGCGGTTTTGATTGAAAAATATTAGCTATGGCTGAAACCTTGGAACCCCCTACTCGTTTCTTCTCCTCCACTGTTGCCATTGTTCGTATGACCTTAAATACAAAAACAAAAATATATGTATAATAGTAATTTGTTTAAAGAATTAAACATATAATTAAATACATTATTTGTTTGCAATAGAGATACTTGTATTTATTCATTAAAAAAGTTTTTTAAAGAAAATATATGTATCAAAATACCTGGTTTTACTTTAGATATATAGAAGTTATATATTAGATTTGTAATCCAGAATACTTCAGCCCATTGTCATAAGTGTATAGTGCATTTTCACCGCCTTGTTTGCATCTAGAAGTACAACAAAAAGAAGAAAATAAAAACTAAAATAAATAAAAACATAACATTGAATAAAGCATTAAAACATAAGCCTATCCTCTATGTTACATAATTTATAATAACTTTATCGACATATTTCTGTTCATTAAACACTTGCAAGAGTGTATTGATTTTTCTGACCTTTTTCAAATTTAGACACATGTTTTTTCCATGCTCATAGAAAACCATGCTCATAAAAAGAAATTTTACATAGCATTATAGTACTGCAAGTAATAATTAAAAATATCTTAAATGATGAAATTTAAAATATTTATTATTTTATTCTAAAAATCATTGAATGTTAAAGATTGTGTGAGGACAGTATGTATATATATATATATATGTGGGTCTTGTCTGGGTTTTACCCTCCTCCCTTTGCCATAGCACACCATGCTCCTGCAATCAATACTTGAATCCTACTCTGTAGTTGAGACATGAAAAGAGGAGATACATATATTCATACATTCCATTTTTACATGACAATGAACACTTTTGTAGGGCATCAATTTTTAAATAGTGTACACTCACTAATACAACTGTAATTTCTAATGGTGCGTTATTAAAAGCTAAAACAAGTTTCTTTTTAGTTTATATAGAACCATTTTGTTTGTAACGTATTTCTTTGAATTAAAATCTTTAAAATAAGGATATTGTAATAATCAGACGTTAGTTTGATTATAATTTTAACAATAAAATTAATTCTCTTATTAGAAAAAATATATTATATATACACAATATTTTTTTTTAATAATTTTTATTATTATTATTATTGTTGTTATATTTATTATTATTATTGTTATTTTTATTATTGTATATATAATATATATATTGTATACGATATATTATATATATATATATATATATATATATCAGTGAAATTATATGCATGAAAAAAGTAATCTTTATAAAATATGAAATAAAAAAACTAGAAAATATAGTAAACTATTGAATATACTAAAAATAAAAATAGAATACTTTATTTAAAGATAAAATATATCTATATTATACTATATATCATTTATATTTCAAAATTATTCTTGTAATTATTTCAATTCTTGAATATTTGTACCCAAAATTTCAAACAAATTCCAACTAATTAAATAAAAACTATGTTTTATGCCTTATAAATAATATATGTCATAAAAACATTTTTTTTTTATAAACACACACATTTTATAAATATATATACACTTAATCACACACGCGCGCGCATACGCATACACATATTATACATATATATACATGCAAAAATAAAAGCAAGTATTAAAATTAGTTTCTTTTTCTTTTCTAATACTTTGATCACTTAATATTTTTATTTTTAATCCTTAACGAAATAAAAACTATATTCGTTAAATATGAATTATTTAAAAATAATATTTAAAACAGAGCACGGCAACCATGAACACGGAAGATGATAAATATTCAATCAATGTAAACAATACTGAAGAATAAAACGAGATAATACTATTTCGTTAGGTGCAGATAAATAGATAGAATATTGTAAAACGTAATAATAAATAAATAAGTGATTAAATATATCGGAATAAATGTACCTTCCAAGCGCCATTATGAATCATTAGCCATCAAATATAACGACTATAGAAAATCGCGATTTTATAATGAATATTAAATATTTACCCGTATAAACATTAGAATCACAAAATATATATTTCTAAAATATGTACATTAAATAAATAAAGAAAAAGAAACTAATTCTTATGTAAAAGTAACACAAAATACTTTTTAATTGTTTATAGGAAATACATATAAACTAACCAGAAATGTCACCATGTGCACGAACCATTTTCTCAGGGGAAGATGGGGGGAAAAAAGAGAAAGAGAGAGATAGAAATACAGAGAGAGAGAGAGAGAGATGAATAGATAGAGAGTAGTTTAGTAGTAGTGTAGTAGTAGTAGTAGTATTGAAAGTTTTGTACCCTGTTTTTCCCCTAACAAATTGACAGTAATAATTAATGAAACGGGACAGTCAAGCACGCACTTCTAATATTTTTCCTTCTTAAGAAATAGAAAGAAAAGAAAAAAAAACTACTCCTGGCACTGTCAAAAATGATAATCACTGCTTGAATTGATTCCTGGTAAACGCGTTGTTTTCACCGATATATTATTTTTTTCTTTTTCTTGACTTGTGTGTTAAAACAATTACAAACCTAACAATCCTTATATTATCGATATCTATTCTATTTATTTATTTGGAAATAACAATTGATTACATTTAACATTAAATGCAATAAAGGGCTTTACATCACGAAACACTTTCACGACCGGCTGGGTTCCATCCGTGTCAACAACCCGTGAAAAATGGTCCAAGATGGTAGCCATCCTTTTTAAAGATGGCGTTTCTGATCTCGTTTAGGGAATTTTCTATCCATCAAGTTGTTTGATGTATAAACGTTTAAAAAAATAAGTTCTATTATATATATATCTTTTTTTTACTATTTTAATTATAAAAATATATTTCAATAAAATCATAATACTATTGTTATTTTATAGAAAAATGTAATAAATAAATAATAAGGAAAATTATGCGATATGGGGTAATAATCGTATAAATAAATGGTTATCTTACATTTTATCGCATAAAAGATAAATGCACTTACATAATTTGAAATACGTGTAATATTTAACTAATAATAACAAGATGAACACGTATAATGTAATGTTAAAAAAAAAATATTTTATAGAAGAGTTTTCACGAGTCGACATAAATTTAAAATAATCTAAATTAAATCTAGATATAAAAGAAGATAGATAAATAAATAGAGAGAGAAAAAAGATATTAACCACTAGATAAAAATATTGTCCCGTAAATCTGGACTATGGTCGCTAGTATCGATCGTGGGAACAGTTGAGAACACGTCACACATAATGGACGCTATGGTTTGTAGCTTGGTGAGCACGTAATAACTAACTGTTTATCATCGTGTATTGCATCACAAGAAAGAGTCGAGTTATGGTGTGCATTTAGTGTAATTCGAATTAATGAAATCCGTTGAATGCGCTTGTTGACATCGGATGACAGCATTCTTTGGTGAGGTGCGAATTGTGTTAGTGAAGAAATATATACGAGTGTCACGTAAGTGTGTACGTACGAGCCCACTGAAAGTTTTGTTAAAATAAAAAAGTATAAAAAAACATCAAGGACTTATCTTCGAAAAAAAAGATAACAAAGATAAGAAAGAAAATGAACTTTCGTAATAATAATTGATGATAAGGATATATAATCATTTTGAATATCCGTAGTGGGTGCCAGGACATAGCTAAAGAAAGAAAAAAATATCCCATAAGACAACCCCCGTTTTAACGATGAACTTTCGTAGGCATAGCGTTTGCGCTTTCAAAGACTATAATATATTGAAACTTTTCTGATAAAACGGGTATATCTATGTGTTATGAATTATGCAAGAATGTTAAGGACTGTTTATATTATTCGGTAACAAAAAGGAATACATAATACCTATAATTATAGGGCTAAATATTTCAAAGAGTTTGAACAAAAAGATAGCAAGTTGATTACACACGATTTTTTATTTTTATATTTTATATACACACATATATATATATATATATACACATTAATATATAACATAGATATGTATGTGTATATATGCATACACGGATAATTTATAATAGCAATTTCGTATAAAATCAATTAATAAAATACGTTATTTTGTTATTACAAATTTCAAAAAAAATTATGCGCGAAAGTATATTTTGTTAGTGCATACTTGGAACGAGAACATTTGTGATAATGTTAGGATGTTAATTGGATACAAACACGTTCGAATTAAAGTATACGAAGCAGTTTTAGTATCAAGAGTTATAAACCAATGCAAGTTTTTGGCCAAACGGATTTCTTAAATGTAATCAAAAACATTACATAAAAAAAAAAAACAAAAAAAAAATAAAATAATAAACCTACATCTTTTACACCAAAGTGAACTTTTAAAAATAAAATAAATTGGATATTATGTGCAATCTTCTGAATCTCCTTCTTATACTAAAAACATTACTGAGTTGTTTTCTACCGTGTAATTATCGTAAGATGTACGAAATCCTTTCAAATGTGATATTATTCTTGTGGGACAAGTACAATTGTATTTTGTCTATCAAGCTAGTAAGTATTTGTTTATATTTGATTTTCAGAAAATATTTAAAGGTGCCCTCACAACGTCGGTCTTACTCGCTAACATCCTGTATGCCTAAAAAGATAGAACCTGGATGAAGAAATCAATAAAGAACTGATTTTAAAGACTATATATTATCATATTAAAAGTTATTCCATCTTAGAAACTAAATAATGGACAATATGGACGCAGATAATTTAAATCTCAGTTGCGAAGAAAATGACATCGTAGATGAATTAAAAATTGGAGCGGATGAAACTTATGATACTCGCAGTGAGGTATCGTCAAGCAGCTCCAACTCGGATTCTAGTCAACCGAGTATAACTTCCATTTCAACTAAATCTTCGCGCGGAGACAACAAACGTAATCGCAAAAACAAAGGAAAACGTGCTAGATCAAGAGAATCTAAATCATCCAGTCCTGAAACTAAACGTGCTAGATCCAAGGAAACCAAGGCCAAAAGTTACGATTATGCAACAAAATTGAATTACTTATTTAGAGATGCAAGGTTAGATATTTCTATATACATATATTAATGTGGACAATTGTATTATCAGTTGAGATTACGTTGACATTCAATATTTAATATTAATGTACGAAGAATTCTACGTACGAATTATTAATTTTTGTTTATTAGATTTTTCATCATCAAATCTAACAATGCTGAGAATGTGACTCTTTCCAAAGCCAAAGGAGTGTGGAGCACATTACCTCAAAATGAAGTTAACTTAAATCAAGCGTATAGAGAGTCGAGAAATGTATTGCTTATTTTTTCTGTTAAAGAATCAGGAAAATTTGCTGGTTTTGCTAGGCTTAGTACTGAATCTAGAAGAGATGGAACACCTATTTCATGGGTATTTAAATAATTATACATATATATTTGTAAACAAAATTATAAATTGTTATAAGTTTACATTTATATTAATAGAAATTTATTTTTTTCTATTTTTAGGTTTTACCACCAGGATTATCTGCAAAAGCATTGGGCGGTGTATTTAAAGTAGATTGGGTATGCAGAAAAGAATTACCATTTACAACAACAATGCATCTGTATAATCCTTGGAATGACGGTAAGCAAGTTAAAATTGGTAGAGACGGACAAGAGATTGAGCCTCGTGTTGCAGAAGAATTATGTAGACTATTTCCTGAAGACGAAGGTAAATATATATATATATATATATATATATATATATATATATATATATATATATAAAAGTATTATATTTTACAGGCATAGAAATGACTCCAATATTAAGAAAATCTAAAGAAGCAGCTAAACACATCATTAAATCTACACGCTCTTATAGAGATACAAGACCTATAAATAATAATAACAGCAGATTTTTACGTTCACGAGGCAGAGGACGTAGACTTTTTCTTACATCAAGATCACGGCTAGCTTCTTTAGCTAGAGGGTCACACTTATCCAGCGGAGAACATAGAGGTTCAAGGGATCATCACCATCGGTACACTAGTTGGTTTAATAGAGGAGATTCACCATATACGAAGTATAATGATTAAATAATCATAATTAAATAATTATATAAATGTATTATCTAAATGATAATAAGATATATCTAAGATAAATTTTTGTAGAGGATACGGTAATACCAGTCTGGGTGTAGCAGCTGCTGCTGAAGCTTATGTAGCAGATTATATGCGTACCATGCAACACCAACTACCTCCATTGCCGCCTTATGCAGCACCACATCCATACGATTCTCTACCTCCACCACCTCCACCTCCAAGGTATTACGATGGCTTACCATTACCACCAGATTATACCGCAGCTGCTTCCGCTCTTGAAAAACGCAGTTATGAGAGAAGTGTTGATGAATTTCTATGGAGAACAGCAAGTCGTCATAATCGACATAGTGACCATCGGTCATCTCGTGATCACCATCATAGATACAGAGATCGTAGATAAATCATTTTTAATATTTTATTAAGTACATATATATATATTATTTTTTTCATTTATATGCAACCATTAATTATTCTTACTATAAATGAGCAATACTATATTGATTTCATAAAAAAAATACTATTGCATAAATATAAAGACTTATACATAAGTCTGCTATTACTTAAACATTATATATAAATATTCTTTATTACTTTTATACTAATGACCTTATTTTAAAATAAATTTTATTTTTATTATTCGTGATAACAAGCAAAAAGAAATATATAAGTGAATGTCATTTACTTCGTGACATTTGTCCAACAAATCTAATAATCTATGTTGTTACTTCAAAACTAACGTTAATAATATATACAAATAATTTTTAATTATATGATTAATTTATCAAAGCGGTGTCGGAATTCTACTCTAAACATCATTATATGTACAATAAGTATCACTATTCTTTAAAGTGAATACCCTCTTTTTTTTCCTATGTTATTTTTCTTTTTGGTCTTTTATATAATAATTAATATCAATAAATGGTTTGCGTAAAAACAAATATATACATATATATATATTAGGTTGTCCGAAATATTTTTAAATATAAAAATATATATAAATAAAAGTGTTGCCTCTCCAGGCAACCCATTACGATATTACTACAAATGTATATAATGGATATGAAATTCTGAAAGCATTACAATTATTTGATATTAAATTAGAGCATCGTTTTAAGACAATGAATATTTTTATAGAAATAAATATCAGATGTAAGAAAAATTTTTGAAAGGAAACTACCAAATGCTTGAGGGTACCCACACATTAAATATTATTATTAACTTTAAGTTATACTTTTTCAATTCTATTGTACATGGAATTCAAATCACACCTACATCTAGGCTCTAGATTATTGTAGCAAAGTAAGATCTTTATATGTAAAATCTTTGATATACTACATGTTTTTACAGCATACATATACATATATATATAAAATAAATGTTATATATTATATATTATATACACATATAACATTTATTTATATATAACATTTATAGAGTCAATTTAATAAGTCGATATGTTGGCTTAATAGAAAACACTGCCATAAATAAAAAGATAGATTAACAGAGCAATGGAATAAAATTTAAATATATTATACAATAGGAGGAATGTATACATTAAATAAAAACAAAAAAAATATTAACGCGCAAAAGATTACATATTCTTTTAATCATTAATTCGATATATCGTCATAATAGTTTTCTTGAAAAGTTAAAAATATGTTTTACTGGTAATTACATATTATATATTATAATAATCTGAATTGAATTTAAAATAAAATGTATATGTGTGTGTGTGTTAATTATTGTATATTTAATTACAAGTTATGTTCACAGTTTGTTCTATATTTGCACCTGTAGATTTACATCTCTGTGTGTTTCGCAATGCTTTTGCATAGTAAATACAAAGAAAATAAATCATAATTTTTGGGATTGTTTGAACTTTCCTATCATTCATATATTGAAATATTTTGATACTTTGCTTACATTAAGGTATAATAAGCCCGGTGTGACGCCCAAAATTTCGACGTTTTTCATGAATTTTTTTATACATAAAAATAAAATGCGATTGTTTTGAAATTTAGATATGTTTTTATTACTGTCTTAAAGTGTACAGAAAATTTTCTTTTGACTTCATTTTACATAAATTTGTTTATGATTTTCTAAGTCAAAATGGAGTCCTCGAAAAAAAGTAGGTTGTCTCGGGGAAGCACACAGCCTTCCGTAGTCATCTGAAACCAAAAATTTAAACGGATTATTATTCTGTAAGCTTGTCGCTAATGACTGAACTTCTAATATGCAAACATTTTTTTAAAATAACAAAATGGCGGACTTGCAAAAAAAAATTTTTTAAATCGCTTTTTTTTAATTGTTTAAAAAAATTAATTTATTTTGTTATTTTTAAAAAATGTTTGCATATTAGAGGTTCAGTCATTAGCGACAAGCCTACAGAATAATAATCCGTTTTAATTTTTTGTTTCAGATGACTATGGAAGACTGTGTGCTTCCCCCAGACAACCTACTTTTTTCGAGGACTCTACTTTGACTTAGAAAATCATAAATAAATTTATGTAAAATGAAGTCAAAAAAATTTTTTTCTGTAAACTTTAAGACAGTAATAAAAACATATCTAAATTTCAAAACAATCGCATTTTATTCTTATGTATAAAAAAATTCATGAAAAAACGTCGAAATTTTGGACGTTACACCGGGCTTATACCTTAATCTATAAATACAAAGATTTTTTGAAAATATTTTTGTCTTCGTGATTATAATTATTTTTTATTACACTTTATTATTGAACGTTATTGTGTAATATACGAAATTGATTAAATAGAATAGAGTTAAATATAAATGACTAAGATGTGGACAACTAAAAGGAAAAGATAAAGGATATTATCTATTGGAACACTCCTACTGTATCTTTGATCAAAACGGATGTATATAATCATGAGAGTAGAAAATTGTCATAAGTAATGAAGATCGCAGCATCACCGTCAAAATGTCACGAAAGTTACAATTCATAATATGCATATTTTGCGTGATTTTATATTTATCAACTTGTTTACTTTTTTTACAATTAAAAACTAAACTACATTTAATAAAAAATATTTTTGTTGAAAGAAACAATAAAACAGAGGATACAGATCCACCTTCAACAACTTTATCACACAATCAAAGATTTGTTAATTCGAATATAAAAATATTACAGTATGATAAACTTGAGTTCAAATATCAGCAGGTAAGTGCATTTAAATATAGGATATAATTATAAGCATGCATACAAGTGCATTTATATAAATAAAATTATATATATAAAACATTATATATTTTTTCAAACAGGAAAATGGATTATTACTTAAAGAAATTTCAAATATTTGTATAAAATATAATTTAAAAACTCCATTAAAAAGAGAACATTTCTTTTACAATTCTAAACATAAATCATTATACTGTTGGATTAGGAAAATTGCGTCTACTAGTTTTACAGCATTATTCTCTAATATGCAGGAACATAGGTTTATTTATTTTTAAATAATTATAATCATTATATAGGTTTTTTCAGATCAAAATAATAATTTTTTATTTCAAAATAACAATTAAAAAAACAGAAATAAAATAATGAATGATAATTTGGTAAACTAAGATTAAAAATCAATGCAATGGTTGTCCTGCAACTGCAATTGGTAATTTCATTATCATATCGACATAATAATTATTACAATCACTAGAAGTAACCATGATTAAAGATTGTTTTATAATATCAACCAAATTAAAATCATTTTTAGATTCTCTTAACAGATTTCTTACAGCTAATTTAGTTTTTGTTTTTTTTTAGTTTTTGTTTTTCTTATCTTCAAAGTTTTCAATGCGTTAAAAATTGATGTAGTACTAAGTTTTACGTTTTTTTTTTGCAGAAGTTCACTTTTGATATTTTTTAATGTAATTGTTGGATTGCATTCTATTATTAATGTAATATAGTTTAAAACTTCGTTGGTCAGTTTGAACATTCTTTTACCACCTCGTTTTTTGTTTAAAATAACACCACCATCATTTTTGTAACGTCTCAATATATTATAAGCTGTATTTTTATTAATACCTGATATTTGCGCTGCCTCGGCTATTATTTTACCTTCTTCATATAGTTTTATTAAAGTTTCTTTTTTTTCTAAGCTTATCTTGTTGTTTACTCTTGAAATACGATTTCTTCTTCGTTCAACAGCTAAATTTACCACATTTTCATCACTACTGCTATCAAAATCATTATTTGATTCCATAATTCTACTATAATTGGATCTTGTTAAGGAAGTATTGCTCAAGTCACTGTTTAATTCATTATTAACATTGTCCATTTTGTTAAGGGTTGAATCACCCCCTTTAAATCTAACCAATGGAGAATTTAGTAACCAATAATAAATACCGATGATATCAATGATAAATAGTTATCATTGGTACAAGCTCATTGGTTGACAACGTATGTAAATAATATATATTTTTTTATGAAGATGTCTTTTTCTAATTTTGTTTTATTAAATTCCAAAAATACTGACAGTGGTGTAGTGGACGTAAATCCAAAACGCACTTTTTTATAAAATTTATTTATTTTTAAAGATTATTATTTTCTAAATTTTTAATTCCATAAATACTGTTTTAAATATGATTGAACATAAATTTTAAAAATTAGCATAGCATATTATGTGAATTAGTTTTTTAAATTATCATTCATTATTTTATTTGTTTTTTTTAATTGTTAATTTGAAATGAACAATTGTTATTTTGACCTGTAAAACCTATGTATTATGCTTTTGTTAATAAATAAACTATCATAATTTATGTGATATTTTTAGAAATATGCATTTATTAGTACCGCCAAGTTCAAACGAATTGGAAGGTTCGATAAACGATCCGAATATTTTTAAATTATTAGTCGTAAGACATCCGTTTGAAAGACTTGTTTCCTCATACAGGTAATTTCTTTTTTTATGTTTATTTAGAAAAATGTCCATGTAAAAATACAATATGTTTACAGAGATCGTATAGAAGATAATACAAAATATACCGCTCAAGCTTGGATTTATACTCAAAAAATATATCGCTTTACAAGACCAAATTTGTTTCATTATAATAGAACAACTGGTAATTTTTTTCAACAAATATTTACCCATGATAGAAGGTACGTTTACATAAAATTATTATTATAACGAAAATCTTAAAATTATATAATTATTAATTAATAATTAATTAATGTGTTTCGCAGGTTAAAAATAATACCAACATTTAAAGAATTTGTAGAATGGTTGTTACAGGAGTCTCCTGAACATGACGATGTACATTGGGATCGATATTACACTCATTGCGCTCTTTGTAATATACAATATAATTTTATTTTAAAGTTAGATCATTATACTAACGATCAAATTAATTACATTCTATCTAAATTTGGAATAGATAAAAACAACATGTATTTGCCAAATTTGGAAGAGAGTAAGGGAGGATGCACCGATTACAAACAGACTTGTAAATATTTCCAAAACTTGACAGAAAACACTATTTTTAAATTGTACGAAAGATATAAAATAGATTTTGAAATGTATAATTATGATTTGAATAAGTACTTGCTATGTAAATCAGAAAATACTAACAATCATATATAATAATAATTGCGCAAAATATGTGTAAAATTATTTATTTTGTATACATTGTTTCTATTTAATTATGAATACATCAATCATTCTTTCTACTCTATTTTACGAAACAAATACGAAAATAAAAACAAATAAGGAACAAAAGAAATAGTATATTACTCACCTAGGGAGGTAAAGTAAGAAATGTCTCAGAATACATGTAATTGTTGGCCGAGGCGAAGCCGAAGTCAACAAACATGTGCTCTGAGGCTTTCTTATTTACTGCCCATGGTGAGTATACATTTTTTCTGCTCGACGTAGGCGGAAAGTGGCAACTTCGTTTTGAACAGCAGGAAAAAAGTTGACGCTTTTCGCCCGGAGGGAAGAAAATTTCTTTTTCTTTTCATTTTATATATTATCAATATTAACTAAATAAATTAGTTAACTAGTTAACTGTTTCATATCCAGTTTAAATAAAAAAAAAATAAATACAAATCAATAATATAGATTAAATCATAATCTTATAAATTATAGAACATTAAACCATTTTTTATTGATTTATTTATTTTAATGTTTATTTGAATATCAAAACTGTTTTGGATATATATGCATATGTATTTTACCAATTGACTTCTAATAACCACTTTTTTGTGTATTTGAATTTGGGACAAATTTAATCAAACTTAACTTTCATTTTGATTTAAATTCAAATACGAAAAAGAAAATGAATAATTACCAATTATTCTGATTATGTTCATTTATCTTGTAACAGATATTTTCATAGTAACTTTTAATTATATTGTTTTTAAGTTGTTACTTGATGACTTAATCATTTACAATCATACAGTCGTCATCTGTTGTCGTCTTAGCTACTTTATCTTCTATGATAGAAATATCTTCACCACTATCCTCTTCATTATCATTATCTTCATAATCATCTTCATCATCAGCTTCATCCTCGCCTTCATCATTACCTTCATCACCACTTTGATTATCAACTTCATTATCGACTTTTCGTTTTTTGGGTAATATGTTGTTATCATTATTTGAATCAGGTTTACGTTTCTTAGGTGTATCTACTTCTCCACCAGTATTAACATCATCTATTGGCAAAACGGACGATTTCTACAAATAATATTTTTATTTATTAGAATATAAATAATAATATTAAATAATATCAAAATCGCATATAATTATATATTATTTTGAAAAATAAAAACTATATAAACATATCTTACTTTGATATTGGAAGTTGATGGCTTTTCAGTATTATTTTTTTCTTTCTTCGGTTTAAGATCTTCTTCATTAGCTACTATTAAAAAATCTGGAGGTTTGTTTTTCGGACCTAATTTCTTTTTATGAACTATAGTGATTTTTAATACATAATTTTGAAGAAAATCATCAACTTTTAAAATTGTACCATCTTTTAGTCCCATTTGTTTAAGAGTTTTATCATTGTTCTCTTTAGTTTCTCCTTCTTCGCTACTAATAACAATTACACCTTGACCGTCTATCATAACATCTGGGCCAACCATATAAAGTCTGTCTTTTAATACTAATTCCTCAAGTTGCTTAATAGTCATTCTGAATGTATCTGTAATTAATATTACATGCGGCACTGGTGCGCACACATAACATTTAGGATTCGGCGGATTTAAATATTTTTCTGGTACTAACAGCTGATTTTTATGATTCATTTTTAAACGCAAGTATACTGATCTACATTCTTTTAATCTGCCTTCAAGAATAAAAAATGCATGTAGGACAACTACCCCAGCAATGATTGCATTTGAAGTTGCTATCGCTGGAATTATATTTCCAGCCATTGCTATAAATGAATACAAAAATAATAAGTAATTACAAAATTGTATTATTTTACATGCTATACAGCACATTTGATATTATATCGTAATACTTCAAATTAATTTTCTTATAACTTACATTTCATTTCAAATCTTGTCTTCTGTGGTATTCCAAAAATATATGCTCGAATATTAGCACACGAAGCAACAAAATCCATAGCATCTTGATCATCTTTATCCCATATAAGAGGATAATCTTTATCGGATTGATGATTGTCTAGCATTGATTCAGCTTTTAATTTTTTTCTTAAATTACTTATAGATTGGGCAAAAACACTACCACATTTGGCAATACTCCAACGTTGTTGATCTTTCAATCCAGGTTCCGATACTTCTTTACTAGATCCAGGTACTAAAGAAATAAAAATTATATTCCAAATCATGAAATAAATAAATAATTAATTTAATACATCGTACTAACCTCCATCAGGTAAATTAGACCAATCTAAAGGTGTTGGAGGTCTTCTTTTTTTCCATAAATTGTCCATACTGAGTAGATATTTAATGTCTTCGTTAAAAAATTTAGTAAACAATTTTTCAGGATCGTAATTACATCCCTTTGCCCATTCTCTTGTTGATTTTCGACACAAATCTTTTGTCTCAAATAATTGCTTTAAATTGGGTTGTGCAGAGAGATCTATAATATTAAATTAATTTATACAATTATTAAAATATTAAAGTTATTAAAATATGAAATACTTACCAAATGCTTCAGGATCTGCTACATCGGGTGAAACATCTTGATCAGGATCTACTTCGCCAAATAACTGACTATAAATAAGTATTATTATATTAATATAAAATATATATTATTCCTCTTTATTATTTTGCTTATATTTAACAAATATTGATACCTACTTAAAAAGATGCTTTGCCCATATGATACAGTGAATTGTTTCACTGGGTGTATTACGTATTGTACATCCTGGATATGTTTTTTGCGCTGCTTTAGGAGTACATTCGTAACATTGACTAAGATCTTTCTTAATCAATTCTACTTGTCCTTCATAACCTGCCGTTCCAGATTCAATTAATGGTACATTAACTGCTAAACACATACGGTTAACATGATTTCTTGCAGCTCTATTATCAAGAGCGTTCATAACTAATGAGAATTTTTTGAAGAATAATAATCCGTAGTCTGGCCTATGTAAATAAATATACATTATTTATTTAAATTTAATTTATGTATATAGTATAATAATATGTTTACTTACGACGTAATACTGTCATGATAATGAAATATTTTAACATTAGGATTAAAACTTAAAGCAGTTTCCTTAGCGACTTCAGCTTTAGATCTTCCCACATGTTTCTTTTGAAATAAAAATTGTCTGTTTAAGTTACTTACTTCGATAATATCCATATCAATCTGTAAAACAGTTCAATATAGTAGAAAATAGTTTAATATGCATCGAAAAAAATTTGGAAAAACATTTAAAAAGAAAAATAAACAATCTTTATAAGATATCAATTCAAGAAGCGAGGTTAAGTTTCAATGAATATTGATAGACTTACGATTTCAATATCGCTGAATCCAGACATTACAAGATTTTTTAAGATCTCACAACCGATTCCTCCTGCACCGACAACCAAAACTTTACTTTTAAGTATTTCATTTTTTAAATTTTCGGTAAAAACACCGTTAATCTCTGCCGCCATTTTTCACGCTAAACAGTATTTTACGTTTAACTACACAGATACATATATATATATATACATTTGTCTATAATTACAAGCCTAAGCATGTGCAGTTAAACATTAAACATGGCGGCTGCTTTCTCACCAACCAATCAAAAGCTTGCCAGATAGCATAAACCTGATTTTCATGAAAAATCGTCAAACTTCATAAGATTGTTACTATTGGTTATCAGCTTTTAATTCTCTTTGACTGTTCCCTTAGCAATTTTTTAAGATTACATAGAAATTCTAAATGACATCACACATTGTTAACTTACAAAATATAACAAATAATTTCGATACTATTCTTTTTTGTTTTCAACAGTATATTTGTAAGAAATTCATTAGTTTTTTTTTTAAATACAATTAAATGACAAAATTTATTTACATTTTTAAACGTATTAATATTAGATAATTGGAAAATACTAAATTGTTAATCGGCATAGTTTGAAAGTACATTTTATTGTAAGAACTTAGTTTTTTTATAATATATATAAATTCCGCAATCATATTAAAATAATGAAATTAATTTAAAATTAAGGGATGCTAGCAAGATAATCCTTAACATTAGATGGATCCAACCTTCTAAACCCATTAGCGTCGCAAATACCAACTTCAATATTATCTGCAGTCATTTGACCTTCAAATCCTTCTTTCAATGTAAGAATGGCAGTATGAACTGCATCATCCAATTCTAAATCTTCGCTATATCTTTTTTCGAGGAATGTTTTGCCATTGATAAAATTTTTTCCCATGGCAGTTGCTTTCCATGCAAAATATGCACCAGATGGATCACATTGAAATAGATAAGGCTTGCCATTATCCCAACCACAAATTAATAAAGATACTCCAAATGGTCTGACACCGCTATAATAAAATATTATCATTAAATAGTATTTGCATGATCAAAATTTATTTATTATTAGATCATTAAGTATAAAATATCCGATTTCTAACTAAAAATAATGGAAGTAATCAGAAATTTTATACTTAATGACCTAGTATTATAAAGTATTATCAATTTATACCCAGATTGTGTATATTCCTGCATAAGCATAGCTACTCGTTGGACTAATTGTGCAGTAGGAATAGGTTCCTGGTATACCAGAAGATACTGTTGGGCCATTTTACGGGCTTGTTTAACAAGTAACCTGTAGTCAGGTCCCATACCACTATAAACCATACCAATATGTTCAGTAATCATCTCAACTTTATTGACACTGTGTTCATCGTAAAGTATCGATTTATGTTTATTTTCAGTAGCGAGTACAACTCCATTTGATGCCTTAATACCAACGCTTGGAGCACCTGCAGCTACTGCGGCTAAGGCATATTCTATTTGAACTAATTTCCCAGAAGGGCTGTATTAAACAAAAATTCATTTTATAAGTTTACAATAGTATAGACATCAGATTTTAATAATAAAATTAAAAATACTATTGATAATCTACTAAATTATATTAAACCACTATGACAATGTATTTTATAAATAAAGAACAGTTGATTATAGGTTAACTTTATAAAATTTAATTTAAAAATGATGTATGTACGTGTTTCTTAAATATATATTGTTTTTTTAAATATTATTATAATAAAATACTTACCTAAATGTAGTTAATGAGAAACTATAACGTTCTGAAGCCATGGCAATACAATTACTTGCAATAACCAAGACGCTTTCACTACTTTGAAGTTGGGCAAATATATTTGGTACTGCTATGGAGAGTAGAAATAAGTAGTATCATCTGTGTATATGAAAAGTGTCCGTCGAAATGCATTCAATTAGGGTGGCGCCACATTAGCTTCAGGGTAAATTTTAAAAGAAGCGCTAAATATTATTAGAGTAGGATTGAGAAATAAACAAGGAACACAAATTTCACAACACAAATTTTACCCATAACTGTTTTGTTATTCACATACTTTTTCATAAAATTAAATGATAAAAAATCAATAAACGTACTATTCACAGTTCACGAAATAAAATCACACTAGCTACACGTTTTCTCATAATAATTCTTTAAGGTTATGTTTACTACATTATTTTGTACTACGCAAGTAGTTGAAATTTTCAATAATTAACTACTTTAGTCGCCAATAATATTCTATTTTTTAACTCGGCATACTTCAATTCGTTTACAATTGTTATATTCATACCATACCTTTTGTCTACACCAGCGCCATTCTGGAAGGTTTTTGAACTGTTATTTATAGCATACGCTGGACACTTTTTTAAATTTTTTCCCATATGAGATGATACCTCCTTGCCTCTACCCTCCATAGGTACTGCATTACCCACGGAGATTACCATATGATTTTATTCGTCAAAAAGCACAATTTCATGCTATCACTTCTGATATTGAAAATGGCGGCAAAATTCAAATAATCTCTTCTTCAAATATTTTTTGGTATGCATAAACATTAAGGGACATAATAGATACAATAAATGTTTAATTAAATATGGTTTATTATGTATTATTATATCAGTCATGTTTTATTACCTAATTAATACCATTTAATAAACATATTCTAAAATAACAATTTCTAATGTAATTTACTGCAATTTATAATATTATATACTGTAATTTTAATTTATATAATAATAATTGGAATTAGATTAAAAAATTCTTTCTTATTTACATCATTTTAATTTACTAGAAAATTCACATTCTTCAGCTAAAAAATATTTTAATGATTGTCACTTTATTTTACACTTTGCCTACAGAATCTGTTGAGTTGTCGTGCAAGAATGTATTTGCTTAATTATAAATCACTACAAATTAAAAAAATACACATTTATTTATAAAGTTAAAATTATTAATACTTAAACTCTTAAATATAACAAACTAATAAATTCTTTTAATATTTTTCTGCAGTGTGGTAGCGTAAGTAACAATCACCCTTGTGTAATGGAACATTACAAAATGTACAGACAAAACAAGTTCTACTTCTTTTTCCATTGGATACACATACTTTGCAATGTCTTTGAGGATTCTTACTTCCAGTTCGAGATACTATTTTTCCAAGTTTGTGATTTTTTATATTTGAAAATCTCTCCTGACTATCAAATCTGGGTGTTCTTATTGTAGGTTCAGAAATGTTTGATAAACTCTCAGCCTCGCTGGTTTCGAAATTTATTGATGGTAAATCTGCTATCCATAATAGTGATACTTTGTGCAAGAATTTTTTATACAATATCTTTGTGCTCATCAATGTAGTATATACTTTATACGCGTTAAACAGTGCGCAATTGATCAGAAACATTACAACTCGGTTTGTCCACTTTTTTGTATTTCTCAAAATGGAATAATAAGACAAATAATTATTTGCACGATCCACCACTTTCATATATTTGTTATAGTCTATTACAGATTTAGGTTTTTTAACCGTTATTGCTAATTTTCTACCTGTAATGCTAGATTGTATTAGTTGTGCTGAATGTATGGTTGAAATCATATTTACTTGTTGTCTTCCATTATTCCATATTTGTAATAGAACATTGTTTTTTCTACGAAATATGCTTTCACCGGGTGAAACTTGTACTTTTTTGAGGCATTTGGGAAGATCTCTATTTCTTTTAATGATTCCACATATTCGCACTTTATCTTTTAGAAGAATTTCTGCCGTATTTATGCTATCATAATAGTTTTCATGATAAACGTGATGCCATAAATTCTTGTAAGGCTTGATAATTGTTAAGATGGTGTCTTTTTCTATCTTTTTTGTTTGGTCTGAATACATTTCAAAATTACAGATATATCCAGTGTAAGCTTCACAAAGTTCTCTTACCAGTATACCATGTTTAGTTAGTTTTCTAGGGTTGTACGTTTTAAGTGAAAGTTGGCCCCGACAAGGAATAATACTTTCATACAGTAATAGTTGTTGACAAGGCTGGTAAACGTCATTAAATCTCTTTTTTAGATGGTCGATAATTGGTTGAACTTTGACAAGTTTGTTTGTACAGTTTGGGGAAATGTCTTCATTGTTGCAAAAGTGCCAGCTTTGCATTATCTGCTGAAATCTATTTCTACTCATTATTTTAGAAAAAAATGGAGTCTCAATACTGCTATCAGTAGACCAATAATCATAAATGGTATCCTTTTTTACTTGTCCCATCAAAACGATTAGACCTACAAATTTCTTTATCTCTGGAAGTGTAATGTCCTTCCATATCTTCGTCTTTGATGCCTTTTTGTATTTAGTTACTATTTCATAATGGTATCTATTTGATTCCTTCAACATATGTTCAAAGAAATCATCCCCGATAAATAAATCTACAATGTCTTTTATGTTTTCTGTAGATTTTGGCATTATTTTCATGCCACAGATACTCTTGAAAGGCTCTACGATAATTTTTTTGTCGTGCATTGACCATTTTTCACTTTCATCTTTTGCATCATTAGTATCATCGTTCTCTGAATCATCATCTTGTGATGTTAGTATTGCTTGACAGAACTGATTTGGGATTATATCACTGTCTTCATTACTGTCACTGTCTTCATTACTATCACTGCTATCAGTCTCTGAAGAAATAACCGAGCAATCTGACAAACAGTCCAAACAAAATCCCTCATTTTCATCTCTTTGATCCATTTTAGAAGATGGTTATTTACAAATTTTTTAATTATATGAAGATCTCATAATACAATCAATGACACCTGCCTCAAAAAATACATTTATTCAATTGGTAAGCACTAGTTTCAAAAAATCCAAATATTTGGATTTCGGTCGATAAGCAATAAAAAATATCCTATCGTTTGGATCTCAGTCGGTAAGCGTTTTTGTAAAAATCCAATTATTTGAATCCCAGTCGGTAAAGTATTAAGGATAAAAGTTACTGTTCTTTAACAACAAAAAATTTAATTGCTTTTTTGTTTTATATATTTTCTTTACATATATATTTAAATTTTTCATTTTCTTTTTTTCGTATTATCTAATTGACTAAAATTAAAAATAAAATGCATGACACATATTGCACCCAGCGTATTATTTTCTAATATTGTTGACTTATTCAAAATTACAAAAGGATATTATGAGAAAAATGCTTATCGTAAAATGACAATGTACACATGTATACATAAAAATACAAAATACAATATTACAGTCAAATTACAGAGAAATGTGCACTCTTTATATTGAATTTTATAATTTGAATATTATTTGTGTATTTTATCAATAAATACTATTTTTCATCAATTTATCTCTTTAGAAATTCACTACTTCGATAGACTTAACACTATATTTACATTAAGCGACTGTAGAGTATTTTGAGATATGTAATAGCATTATTTAACAATGCAGCTCTCTGAAGGGCATACTATTTAAGTATAATAATATAAAGTAAAATAATGGATACCTAAAAAACTATAAATATTTTGTCTTTGTATGTATTAAGTATAAAAAGCTAAATATATATGTGCAAAGCAATTTTGCTACAGCAATAAAAATAAGCTAAACAATTAAGAAACGTAACAAATATCTCTACAACAAGAGAATATCAAAAATTCTTTTTACTTTGTAACTATGGCGGTGCAGAATGTGGAGGTTGATGTCAGTAATTGGATGATCCGCTTCGTTTTTCATTGGCAAAATAAGATACAAAAACTACATCTCCACCAACATTTATCAAACATTGACCCTAAAAATATATATAGCATATAAACTTTTATTGATTATGATTAATGATTATTATATTTCTATTAATAATTTTTAATAGAAATTTATAGAGAAAAAGAATCATTTTATGTTAAATATATCAATAATATATAAATACCTGATTTTTATGAACATTATGGAGAAGAACGCACTGTGTCATAAAAAAAGCAACCATCGCATTTCCTCCTAATGCTGTTATGTGCGCACGTACAATTGCTAATATTTCCATTACAAAGCTATGCGTAAATCCACTTAATCCACCATTCTGTAAAAAAACAATATATATTTACACATACACAATTCCTTTTTAATTTGTAAACTTTACATTATTGTTTGTTTATTATTTTCTTTATTCTTTTTATTATATACCTCTCTTACAGATGTGCTTTCTCTAATAAAGAAAAAGTTTAGATTTCCTAAATATCTTTCAATTCTTCCACCTGGTAAATACGATAATGGTGTTATATCTACACCATATCTTTCCTTCAAAGGCACCTAAAAGAAAATTATTAGAGACAAAAAATACATAAAATATATTTCACAGAAATATATTTCTATCTTCAATTTTAATAACAACTTAACAATGATTTGTATTCGTTAAATATCAGTAAAAACTCACGTGTTTATGTCTATGTGTAGTATGTATCTTTGAACGTAATGGTGAACGTGGTCTTGACTTTCGTCCAGGAAAAACTGTTAACGTAGATGGATTTGTAGTTCGAATATTTGGCATATTGTCAGATACAGCAGTTATTTCTACGTGATCTTCCTCAAGATTAAATATCATTTCGTGTTCCTCTATAAATTGAAGTTCTTCAATTGTATGTACAAACGATATGAAAATGAAAACTTTACCTGGTTTTTTCGCTTCATCTTTACTATGTTGATGAATAACCATTTTTCGTTTATATTTATTTGATTTTACAGGTTCACCTAATCCAAGTGCCATACCAACAACAGAAAGTTGTATTTCATCTTGTTCAGGAAGTGCAACTTTAAATTGCATATCACAAAGTGCACAAGGAACCATTCTCCTTAATTTGAAGAAAATTGTCTATAATATATTATAAACATTAGTTACAAACAAAAAGAAAAAATGTATATTTTTAAATACTATTTCAAAATAATCATTTAATATACCTGCAATAGTCTAGCGAAATATTTTGGAGGCATTGATGCTGATAGACCTGTTGGAATTTTAGCTCTGGATACTTGTGTAAACATTTGTAAATTTCTAACTATTTCTAGATCTTCTAATCCTGGTATAGTTTGTGTATTTACAACATGAAAATCATCGGGTGGCTTATCATCTATTAATAATGATATTCTATCAATATCCTCCAGATCATCTACTTCTAATATACAAGCATCTCGAGAACCTAATGCAACATCAATTTCAGGTAAATCTTCATCCGAGTCGTCTGTATCAGATGTAGTTGCAGCACGTCCCGTTTCATTGTCCTATTAAAAAAAAAATCATGGTATTTATTTAAATATACAAATTATATAAAATTAAATGAAAAAAAGGATTCATTTGAACATACCCCTATTGGCTTCAATTGATAAAATTCAATATTCTTTTTAACGGTGTTTGAAAGAATTTGTTGAATTTCAACCAACTGTTCTTCATTATGCCAAGAATTATGAGCAGCTATTTGTGGAATAGAAGGATTAGGTAATGCTGTAAGAAAAACAGCGGTTCCAACTGCCATTCCAATAATGAATCTCTCTCCGATGGAAACTTGTAATTTTAAACCAAAGATAGCATTCATTCCTTTCATTTTTAACTTATTCAATAACAAACAATACAATTCATATTCCAAAAAAGGTAAGCAATCGGAAATTTCTTTAGCATTTAATTCACCTCTTAAATCTTTCTTATTTTTACATACTGTTGCTTGAATGAAGCATCCTCTACCAGTCATAGGTATATTTTCAAGAAGTTCTATAGTAGTAAACATTACATCTGGAACTTTAGCTCTTTTACATATGGCACATTTAGACATATTTACTTTAAATTGTATATTATTTCCACTATATGGCAAGTGACAAAGACTGCACCCGTGAGATTGGGTATATGATTCGTGATCATTACTTTCAGATGCACATTTATTTCTTCCACTGGGATTACTTGTATGATTAGGTGGATCAACGTCACTTCTTTCTGTTTTGTTGACAGATGATTTTTGGCTGGACTTATCGCGTTCTGATTCTATAGATGCTGCCATTAATCCTTGTTGCAATCGAGTTACAAAAACATTATCCTGATCTGAATTTGAATTATGAAGATTTATAACGGCAGCTGTACCACTTGCATTTAAAACACAAACGTCATCACTAAAAATATATTAATTTATGTTAATCATATTGTCTATTATTTGAGCTTATTTATATGAATATATACTTATTTAAATAATTTACCATATACTAGTTTCTTCTTTGTACCCTATAACGACATTACAAGCTAATGCTCTTGCATGCGATCTAACTTCCATTCTAATTTCTGTCCACCATGCATCACGACCTTCCGGTTCTTCTAAATTACTTATTCTTTCCAATAATTTAACCGATCTTGAGCTTACCAGACCACCTACCTCAATATGATGTATATAATGTATAATTTAACATATTAATGATATTATACAAATATACTTTTTGTTTAATTTTTATGAAAATGAAGGACAAAGCTTACCTATATGTACAACAAAACCAGGAGGATATTGCTGCATTGTAATAAATGGATATTCCAACATTTCTAATGCATCTTGATTCATAGTTCTTACTACGGCTGCCGATTGTTTCATAAAGCCTCCCATTGATCTATCGCTTCCAGCCAAAGAATTACCTGAAATATATGATTAAAATGATCTTTAAACATACTTTAGTACTTCATATATTTTTTTCTATTTATACTATATTACTTTTCTGTATTACCTTTTGGTGTAATACTTAAATCAGAATCGCTGGATCTTCTATGCAAAGGAATGATATTATGTGTTTTTGTTGCAGGTGAATGTAAAGTTTTTGCAGTCGTTGATGAAGGAACAGAAGGAAGTGGATAACTTGGACTAAATGATGCTTCCTCTTGATGTCTACAAAAATATGAATATTATAAATTTATTTCGAAATCATTTATATTTAAACTTATCGTAATTTAAATCGACAAATAAAAATATATATACTCTTCGAGTGGTGCATTATCCGATGGCGAGTTAAAAACATCGTGTACTTTTACAAGAGTTACCGCAGTTCCTATACCTCGTGCAACAATGCCTGATTCTCCTTCTAGGTCAAAATTCTGCAAATATCTAATTATAAATAAGAAGCAATTAAGAATTAAAATAGTTTTTCATTATTTCTTCTTTACGATTTGCAGATAATTTATATGTTATGTGTATATTTACCCAATAACTGCATTTCCACCCAAATCTAATGCTTTTAAACCTATTTTTCTTTGTACTTCTCCACTTAATTTAAAAAACAATGTTTGACGTGCTTCATTTGATGCTCGAGGTGTTCTTATCTTATCTATCCATTTGTATTCTGGATCATCGCTCACTATTAATTCTTCAACAAAACCATGTATCACTTGCGCATGATATCCATATGGTATATTTGGTGCTAAAAATATTTCAGAATTATTTTACTATTTGCAAGATATTTAATAATTGTTGTTCATATAATATAACTAAATAATATATTATATATAACTTTTAATAATAAATTTAAAAAAAAAACAATACTATATATATTTATATAATTATTGCTCCTATGATTTGCTTAAATAAACAACAAGAAATATTTATTTAATATTATCAAAAAGATATTTTCTAATCGATAGTATTATTCTAATTAACAAAATAAAATAAAATTCACACACTGTTCTAGGATATATCTCCTATAATATTTTAATTGATTGATAACAACACTTATCATCAACTATATCTGTTTTTTCTTGGAGATTTAAGATAATTTATATATAACAATATTGTTTCTTTGCTAAAATGGTTGCCAACACTGATGTTCTATCATAATGGATATCATTTGTTGATCCAATTAAGAGAATTGCTGAGAATATTCCCCCTATAAAACAAAAATTTATTTGTAAAAAATATATAAATATAAAAGAAAAAAGCAGGTAAATGTACACGTATAAAAAATTATTTATAGGAGGTGTACAACGTACTTCAAAAGATATTTATTAAATTATTCTCTTAATGCTTAATGGGAAGGATTGATTTTTATCTCAAATAAAGCAAATCATAGTGCAATATATTAATGTACAAATGAAAATCATTATTAAGAATAACCTAAACCTCCTTTACTGTCAGTTAATGTAACTTGAATAATTGAAATGCTTACAATAGAAAAATTGTACACCGCACGATGACTGCCTAAACTTATTAAAATCTAAGAATAATTCCACTTTAACAATAATGTTTACTTCACCACGAATACCATGCATTGTATCATAAACTGGTAACCATCCCGTCATAACAGAGCCTATAATAATGCAGAATGTAAATACAAATAACTAAATTAAAAGAAATATTTTAATATTCCAATTTTTTTATTCATTTTTTGTCAATTACTACCTTGAGAGCCAGAACTCGAGCTCAAAGATGCTTCCAAAGTCCAAACATTTTTAATTAAAGGTGTTATACCCGGTAACAATAATGGATTTAAATTAATATAAACTTTGCCAATTGCATCATTAGCAGAATAAGTATCATGATCCATTAATCTAATTTGCAAAGGTTCATCTTGTAATTCAGCATCATCCACTTCAAATTTATACCATTCGGAATTCCATTGAGGGTTTAAAGATTTTCTACATACATCTGTCTTATATGTTACATTTCCAAATTTTAGTTCAACATATGCATCCGTTGTATCGCCTGAACGATCCATTACAGGTAAGTTACGACCCGCCAATACCTTGACTTTAATCTTTCCAGGCATCGTGTAGGTTAATAAGTGCAACGATTATAAAACATTATTGTACCGTTTCAATATATCAAATATCCATCTATTTATGACTAAGTATTTACATTTTGCTATTTCATGGCAAGTTTGTTGTTTGTGTCATGGATTAACTTGTACTTTCGTTACTGATATTTGTAGTTAAAAGAACTTATTACTACTTATTTATTATCGTAATCAGAATCTTCTTTATCTAATCATTCAGTTAAACAATTAATTATTTAATAATATTACTCACTATTTAATGCATTACTAATAAAATCATTAATTAACCTCAAAATCTTCAATAGTACACGTTTCATGCTTATCCAATAAGGATTATTATTATTAATGGAGTTTTTATTGATGATCTATAGATTGATTATGCAAGCATGATTTTGTACTTGCGTATCTTCATTATTGATTCATAATCATGTGATATTAGTGCGATAAAGACAAGTAAATATCTACAATAAAGACCACCCAAATACTTGCTTCTCAGTATCAGAATCTGTAAGAATCAAAAGTATTAAGTGAATATAGTCTCAAGAAAAATCAAATCGATTTTGATCTTGCGATATTTTATATTTGCTCATGTTGGTACTGACTATACCACGGAGGATAGATACCAGAAGTCCGAACGATATAGGATTTTTCATATTTTTTGTGGTAGTCATTTCTTGACCCAGATCATAGTTCTCTTTTTTGCTACTGGCTGCGCAAGTATTCAGAGCGTACCGATACTATTATTATTATTACACGTAAATTAAATATAAAATATTAATTTATTTTTTTAGAATTATTTTTATTAAAAAATGGGAAAGTGTTGTGCCGTTTATGGTTGACTTAGTGGCCGAAAGGCAAGTGAGAATGTAGGAAAAGTGGTTTTATTCAAAGTATCAAAAGTGAGTAACCTCAAAATAATATTAAAAATATTATGTTAACAAATAATTGATTATTACATTTGTGTAGTTTTTAAATAATATTAATTCCACGTTTCTTAAAATATTTTTTTTCAGAGCTGTCAATAGCA